TAATATAAAAACAGTCTACCATATAATCTCTAAAAAATATGTTTAACTCCTCCAATATTTCTGAAAACAAATAAACATTTTATTTTTGTAAATTTCCATTATATTAATTATTTGGTATTACGTCACAGCAAATTTAAAATGAAATTCCATTTTCTCCAATTCATCCCATGTGTCAAAGGAATGAGGATTATATTGCGGAGTACAGTGCCTTACATATTAATTCGTTATAGCCCGGAGCAATCTAGTGACACAACACAAATTTGTGCGATGTTATACACTCTTAAAGGTTTGCTCCAACCACCATTTCAGTGATTTAAAGTGGTCATGGTGGCAGGATTTGAAGTGGTCATGGTGGCACATTGACAGTAATTTTTAATTGTGTGCCAGGGGCTAGTTGCACCCCCACCACAAGTAACTTAGGCAGCTCAGAACTCAATTCTTTGCATATTTTATGTCTTTCGTCTGCGTGCACCGTACACTAGTAACAGACCTAATAATCTTCCTCTTGTAGGCAGAGTGCCTGCAAGTGGAAGCTAGCTTTTCTCTCCCTCCCACCCTTTATAGTGCCAGGAAAACATACTAGTTTTCCTGGCACTATAGTGCCCTGAAGGTGCCCCCACCTTCAGGGCCCCCCACTTGCCGGACTCTAGGGGGTGGAGGCAGTGGTGTATCCTGGTTTTTGTGCCACCCAACCCTTCCCCCCCGCCCCACCTTCTAAATACACACACACACACACACACACACACAGTCACAAAGTCAGACACAAACAAAGTCAGACAAACACACACAGTCATACACACACACAGATAGAGTCAGACACACACACACACAGTCAGAGACACACACAATCACTCACATTAACACTTTTTTTATTTAACCCCCCCAGCCTCCTTACCTTTGGGAATGCTGGGGGGAGGGGTCCCTCTCTCCCTGGGGGTCCAGTGGATGCTGGGCGGGCGGCGCTGGGCTGGCAAGGGAGCACTTCCTCTGAGCTGTCTGCTCAGTTCCCTCGCGCGCCGCCCGCAGAGTGAGGCTGGGAGCCGGAATATGATGTCATATTCCGGCTCCCAGCCTCACTCTGCGGCGCGCGAGGAAGCCGAGCAAACAGCTCAGAGGAAGAGCTCCCTCACCAGCACAGCGCCACCCGCCCAGCCCAGCATGTCAGTTAGCCGCAAGGCTAACAAGGCATTTGCTCTGGGTATTTGAGGGCGGCGTTTTTTGCCGCCCCCTGGAAAATGCCGCCCAAGGCAAATGCCTTGTTTGCCTCGTGGCTAATACGTCCCTGGGTGGAAGGGGTTAAATTTAACTCTTTCTCCAGCGACGGGCGGGGGACTCTCCTCCTCCTCCTCATCTCGTCGCCGCGCGCATTCAGCCAGTCCATAGGAAAGCATTCACAATGCTTTCCTATGGACGTTGGCGTCTTCTCACTGTGAAAATCACAGTGAGAAGTGAGGAAGCGCCTCTAGCGGCTGTCAATGAGACAGCCACTAGAGGCTGGATTAACCCTATTATAAACATGTTTATAGAAGAAAGGGTTAATCCTAGCTGGACCAGGCACCCAGACCACTTCATTAAGCTGAAGTCGTCTGGGTGCCTATAGTGGTCCTTTAAATAGGCTTTTTTCTTTTCTTTTTTTAACAGAGCAGTAATAAAAGCTAGGACACACTTTTTGTTGTTTCAGTTATAATTTGTATTAAATCACAATATGAGACAATTGTAGCACAGAACACTTGTAAGTAGAGTCATTGAATTGCATGGGAAATTTAGCAACGAAATGGTTCCCCATGCAATGTTTAATCTTTACAGTCATGATGTATTGTGAGGAGAAGAGTGGTTTGAAGTCATATCAATCATTTGGAACACTTTTATCTAAATACAGTCCTCATGGCTCATAAGGGATTCAGATTTTGTAAACAATCTCATAGGAGTAGAACGGGGAATCAACTATATCCTTGACTGTTAATGTACCTTAAGGACGTAGTAGCTGCACTGATAAAATTACAATTTGGCTATTCTGGCCTTACATTTGAAATTCACTTTACATTTTCACTTTAGTAAATAACCTTGTCACATTTATTTTACATAAAGCATCTATAGAGAAAAAGTAAAAACGGAATATGTCATTAAAAAAAAAAAAAAATAACCATAAATATGTAAATAAAATCAAATGTAGTCAAGTTTCAGCTGATTTAAAAAAAAAAAATACAATATGTTTATTAAATAGTTTGCTTTCAAATATATTTTTTTTCCTTTTTCTTAAATTTAGCTTTTAGAGATCACAGAAATGTAAGCGGAAAAAGTAAAAATGTATTGTCTATTCCTTTATATTGCTATAAATGTCACATAATGTTTGTAACTTAAACCTCTGTAAGAATGTACATCCCACATAAGTCCATTTGGAGTGTAAATGTATTAAAGCTCTATTTCTATCACATAATAATACCCTGGAGGATACATTTTGATCTTCAGAATACTTAAAGGGACTCTCCAGTGCCAGGAAAACATATCAGTTTTCCTGGCACTGCAGTGCCCCTCTCCCTCCCACCCCCATCCCATGTTGCTGAAGGGGTTAAAACCCCTTCAGGGCCTTACCTGAATCCAGCACCTAATGTGCATGCGCGGCAATGGACCTCCCCATAAGAAAACATTATTCAATGCTTTCCTATCGGGATTCTGGTGACGGTGGATGTCCACATGCATAGCGTGAGGACGTCCAGCATCGTTTAAAACACTTTTCGTGTTCTAAGAACACAGAAGTTCCTCTAGTGGCCGAAGTTCCTCTATAAAAACTGCAATAATTACACTTGCAGGGTTAAGGGTGGTGGGAGTTGGCACCCAGACCACTTCAATGGGCAGAAGTTGTCTGGGTGCCTGGAGTGTCCCTTTAAATTCAGAATTCACTGTCCTTAAAACCACAAACTAAAGCAGTTTGAGTTTATCATTCATTGTTTAAAGTCTATTGATCTGATTTATGATCCATTACCTTAAGATATTGTTAGTGTAATATATGTGATTTCATTTTGCATCAGCATGTTTCACTACTTTTCAGCATTTTGTGCACTCTGGTTTAATTTCTACATGAAAGTGTAGAGATAAAATGCCACAATGAAAATGTAGAGTTAAAAATGTTGAGTTCCCTAGAGTGACATTATAATGATGATGGGACAGCATTAATTTTAACAATGCAACGTAATGTCACAAGAATGAAAATCATTTTCACATTTTTATAAATGTGCCATCTTTCTTTATGACCAGCAAGCAAAATACACACATATTGTGCTCCAACTGCGCAATCCAGAGAAGTTGACTCTGGAGCGTATGACCCTGAGAAAGAAGCAGATACTGTAAATCAGGGGTCAAGTCCTGGGTAAAAAAGTGTGGGAACTAGTGATGTCCCGAACGGTTCGCTGCAGACGGCGAACATATGCGGTAAACTTTGACTCTCCCCCTGCCTCCCTGACAGTCCCAATGCCTTGCCTGCACCGATCTCCTCTCCCCCTCCCTCACGTAAAGTCCCCCTCCCTGTACAGATCCCCTCTCTCCCTGCCTCCCCTGCACAAATCCCCTCCACAGATCCCCTCTGTCCTTCCCTCCCCTGCACAGATCCCCTCCATGTATACCCTCTCTCCCCTGCATAGATCCCTTCTCCCACTCCCTCCCCTGCACAGAATCCCTCTCTCTCTCACTCTCCTGCACAAATCACCTCTCTCCCTGCCTCTCCTGCCCCTTACTCCCCTGTACATATCCCCTCTCCACCTGCTTTCCCTGCACAGATCCCCTCTCTGTATGGGCCAGCAAGAGAGATCCTTTGATCTCCCCTGTCGCAGTGTCGGATCCAGTGGGGGCAACAGGGCAATTGTCTTCCCCCCCCCGGAAAACCGAGCAGACTGATGGTGGTCTCCTTCTCCACTGCCAGCACATGCAGTCGCCGGACCTGCAATGTGCCTTCACGGACCGGAGGGGAGATCGGAGATCTCCCTCCCCCGTTTGCAGGCACCGTGCTGGCAGTCAGCAGGGGAGGGAGGGAGAGAGGACCCAGGAGCTCAGCCTGCAGCTCCTCTGGGTAACCACTGCAACGCTCCGGATCTTGCGAGAGTGATCTCTAGCCCTGGAGCTGCAGGCTAGAGTTCACTCTCACCACTGGGACCACCAGGGATTCCCCACCGGACCACCAGGGATGACAAATGTCCCCCCTCCTCCCAGTAAAGGACATAATGCATATTTGTTTTAATTAAATTTAAAAAACATTTTTTATAAAAAAAGCCCCCCTACCCTTCTTATCACACACCCTACACAAATTGCTCCCATACACACACACACACACTGCCCACATACACTGCTCCCCATACCCCACTGCCCCCATACACACATTGCGCCCTCACTCACAAACAGCAACCTTCTTCACACACTGCTCTCACACTGTGCCCCATACACACACACACACTGCCCTCACACTGTGCCCCATACACACACACACACTGCCCCACATACACTGCCCCCCATTCTCAATGCCCAATACACACACTGCCCCCATACACACACTGACCACATACTGTCCCCCTCACACACACACACGGCACCCTTCACACATTGCACCACTCAAACACACCACTGCTACTACAGCCCCATTTCCCAGCAGACCTCAGGTAAGTTGTCAAACTGTTTCTTAAATGGTTTGACTACTTACTCTGGGAAGGGGTCCCGGCACAATTGGCACCATAACCACTACACTGAGCTGTAGTGGTTATTGTGTCTGGATTATTTCTTTAAATAATCTATGAGTGCCCCTCCAGAGATCAGGCTCTGGATCCGTCACTGCCCTGTTGGCCTTAGCCTATGGTCATTTTCCAAGCCTGGTGTAAAATATTGATGTATAATGCCTCCCTAATTCTGCCAGTCATAGGATCTGGATTAATAGGTGGCAGATACGTGCGCAGTGCCACTACCAATCCAGAGTTCATAAAATGTCTTTCAGACTGAGTAGAAGACAAATAAGGAAAGCATATTTAATGCTGGCCATGATGGAAAGGTATCAGAACACACAGTGCATCATAGTTTGCTCAGAGTGCCTATAATATCTCCTGTCCTCTGCCGAAAGTGCCTTCAATGGAGATGTGATCATTAGAACTGGACCATGGAGCAATGGAAGGTCTGATAAATCTCATTTTCTTTGTGAGCAGGTAAATGACATGGTGTGTGTGTGTTGTTTACCTGGGGAAGAGATGGCAGCAGGATGCACTATGGGAAGAAGGCAGGCCGTTGAAGGCAGTGTTATGCTTTTGGCAATAATTTGATTGGAAACCTTTGGTCCTGGCATTCATGTGGATGTTACTTTGACACGTATTACCTACCTAAAGATTGTTACAGACCACGTACACCTGTTCATTTCAGTTGGGTTCCTTACTTCCAGTGAAGGGAAATCTTACTGCTTCAGTATACCAAGACATTGTATAGTGTATTTATTCAGAAGACATGAAATACTGTATAGTGTATTTATTCCCAAGATATGAAATACTGTATAGTGTATTTATTCCCAAGATATGAAATACTGTATAGTGTATTTATTTCCAAGACATGAAATACTGAACTGACAAAACATTTACAATTTTAAACTATTTGTATTACACAATGTCTACTTAGACCCCCTAACTATACCTCAAAACCAAAAATACAATATTTCTGTGGTTAACAAAACTGCAGAGCCATTATTAAAAAACTTCTAGTACCAATACTGAAATTGACATTGTAGGACAAACAGTGTACAGACTTGTGTTCTCTCCAGTGCCGTACCTGGGGTCAGACGGGCCGGTACCCTGTTGATCCATGTGACTGATGTGCCTGCTGGCATAACTTCATTACATTCTCATAATGTTGCTCTTCATAATTCTATATCCTTCATTTTCTAGCAACTAGCTGAGAATTCCCATACAAAAAAGCCCTTTTCTTAATTTCAGTTGTTCAGTAGATAACTTCTTTTTAGCTATACTTATGTGGGATTGCAATATTTAAGGACACCAAACACATTCACATTTATATACACACACAATAACACAATAGGTTATCTGTGGTTGTGTGTGTATTGTGATCCTTGTCTGCAGGTAGCACGGTCCTCTAGGGTAAACAACAGGCACAGTCCTTTGGTTTGCATATAATTCAGGCAGTTTTATTATCAAACTCCACCACAGCTACAGCAGCAAATGAAAACAAAATGTAACAAAATCCTATAAACAAAAACCTAGCTCAGTCTGAGCACTAACTGACATCAAGTTCCCTCTCTCTCAAGGGTTTAATCTATAAAAAAAAAACAAGAAGTGGTTTCACCAACCTAGCGTCTTTTTCAGCTCTCAGCATTCCAGTGTTTTTTGGCAGCCTGCTGCTTCCCTTTCTACACTCCCAGTGCTCCAAGGCAGCCTTGACTGCTTTCCTTTTGCACTCCCAGTGCTCCAAGCCAGCCTTGACTGCTTCCCTTTTGCATTCCCAGTGCTTAGTCTCCTTGACTCTCTTACTGGAGAGACTCTCTTACCTGCTTCCAGGGAGGAAGCCAGCAATCCCTCCTTTACCTGCATAGCAGGGAGGGGTTTATTCCCACTGCTGCAGCTGAGCAGTGGGTTGGAGACAGTCCAAAAAACCCTGGCCTGGATCTATGTCTCCCAAGAAAACCGCTAAACTGCGGAGTGGAGCATTGGCCCACCCTGCTCTCCAAATGCTCCACCCCAGGGGCCCATAACTAAATGTTGGTTTGTGTTGCCTACAACACATACTCCCCTTGGGGTTAAATGTTATAGGCCTATCTGCCCTAACTTTATCCTCCCCCCCAGCTCAGACCCATCGGGGCGAGCGGCCTTCAAACACAAACCATGAACATACATATCACCTAGGGCTGTACCAGCCCTAACTAGCTTCTCAGTTACAGGAAGTGGCTTATTGTAGGTGGCTTTTACCTCGTCCCTTGTAGTTTAAGGAGCCCCCACCCAATAGGATAACCCACATAGCTAGCCTCCTCTAATCCTAGATTACCTCTTTTCCCTTTGCTTTCACTGTCAGTGGTTGCTGCTGTGCTCTTCCTGCACAGGTGCCTTGCGCACCCTGTAATGATGCCGATGCCAGGATGATGTTATATGCCGGCTCACTGCAGGGCGAAGACAGTCAGACACAGTCAGATGCACACAGTTATACACATATATTGTCAAATACAGCCACATGCACACAGTCCCAGACACATAGTCACTCACACACAGTCAAACACACAGTTACAGGCAGACAGACACACACACACACACACAGTTACAGGCAGACTGTAACACAGTAACAGGCAGCATCACACACACTCAGTGACACGCAGACAGTCACACACACACAGTCACAGGCAGTCATACACAGTCCCAGGTAGACAGTCACACACACAGCCACAGAAGGTCAGTCACACACACAGTTACAGGCAGACAGTCACAAGCAGTCCCAGGTAGACAGTCACATGCAGACATTTACACACACAGGCAGACAGTCACAGACGCAGTCACAGGCATTCACACACAGAGAGGCACAGGCAGGACAGTCAAACACAGTCACAGACGCAGTCACAGGCAGACAGTCACACACACACACACACAGTTACAGGCAGACAGTCACACATACAGTCACAGTTTTAAACACACACACACAGCACACACTCTCTCTCACTTACTGGTGGAGGAGTGGAGTCAGTGAAGTCCCTGGTGTGTAGTAGTTGGGGAAGCACTCAATCTCTGTGTTGTACTCCTGCTGTATTCCCGGCCCCTGCGTGTGTGAGCTGTCTCAGCTGCACACAGCTCACAGAACCGTAAGCCTGGCCAGCCCTGGTGGCACCCCCCTACCTTGTGGCACCTGGGGCGGACCACCCCACCCCCCCCTTAGTACGCCACTGCCCTCTCTTTTCTTTCTTATGCAATTCGTTTACACTGTTTCTTCATATTTCATACCCACTCACATGAACTTTCTATTTCATCTATCTTCTCTCTTGCATCATCTGTTTCATATACAAAAACCAGATCTTTATCCCATGGCTTCCTTCTTCATATTCCCAAACAGTACCTCTTCACTTTCCTGTTCCCATTTTCTACATTTACCGGAACCTTTCTTCTTTATCAAAGGAAACCACTATCTTTATCCATACTCTCTCACTTTACATTTACAAATCATTTATTTTTAAATCCCCAATCTCACCTTCTTTACAATTTCAAATCCTCCCTCAACATTCCTATTATCACCCCCTTCACTTACCAATTATTGCCCTATTCACACTCCCAAACCCCCCCTACTCCCTCCTAAACCATCCTTCTTTATATTCACATACCCTTCCTCTTCCCAGTTTCATAACATTGCTCTTCATAACCCATACTCTCCACGTTCATTTCATACTCTACTTCTCAATATCCCTATAGTCTTTATCTTAATATTTCTATAGTCTTCATATTTTGCATTGCCACGATCTTTATATACACTCTCACACTTCTTCTGATTATATTCTTCCCATTTCTACCCTATTATACTCTAATATATTATATTCCCATTTCTACCCTATTCAGAGTTCTATGCTCTCCCTTTTCTCTTATACCATCTTACTCAAGTTAATTTTCCCTGTTTCTTCTAATTTCCATACACACCCATTTGACATTTCATTTCATTGCTCTTCTATATTGCATCATTTTTCACATTCAAAAGCTGTCTTTATCACAAACCCTCTCTTCATATACCCATACCCTTCTTTATCAACTGAAACAACTATGTTTATCCATACACTTGCGTTTTACATTGCCAGGTCATCCATTTCACATTCCCAAATTCTCCCTCTTCACAATCTCATATCCACCCACTTCACACTTGCCAGCCCTCTCTCTTTAGTTTCCTATACTGGCCCTCTACACTTTTCCATTCCCTTCACCTTCAAAAACCTTCTTTATCAAGGTAAACCACTATCTTTACATTTCTATATCATCCCTTTTCACATTCCAATTCACACCATTGTCACAATTTCAAACCCTATCTCTTTAAATTCCAATTCGCACCATCTTCACATTTCCATACTCGCCTCTACACTTTCCCATTCCATCTTCTTCAAATAAAAAAAAACCTGTCAATATTCATATTTTAGGATCTGCCCTTCTCACAATCCCATCATTGCGACCTCCACATTCTCAAACCCTCCTCTTCACATGTGCATTACCACCATCTTCACATAATCAAACCCTACCTCTTCATAAACTCATTCTAACTCTCTTCACATTGGCAAAATCCATAACTAATACCCCATTTTTATTACACCGTCTTCACAGGCCCATGCCTGCCCTCCTCAAATTCCATATCACTCACTTTACATATTTCCATACCCCTTCATATTTGCATTACAACGCTCTTCTCTGTTCTAAACATTCCCTCTTCATATTATTCACATTCTCATAATGTCGTTCTTCTTAATTCTATAACCTCCATCTTCATATAATTTGTATTCTGAATATTCCCATATTTTCACATTCCTAAAGTCTTCATATTTTATCCATACTTTCCATCTGTAGATTAAGGTACATTTTTACCTCTTTTTATAACATTCTTCACATTTCCTTTTTCAATTTCCACCATTCTCACATTTATATCCCTCCCTTTAATCTTCTGCAAATAGATTTTCCCTGTTTCATCAGATAATAAAAGTCCCCAAATTGAAATTTCATCCTTCATCTTTCTTGCATCAAAATTTTCAAACACAAAACCAATATCCTCCTCCTTCACATTACTAAATCATCCCTTTTAATATTTACAAATCCTCAATCTCCACTTTTACCATTCCCACTCTCTTCATATACTTTGCCAAACTGAAGCCACTATCTTTACCCTTACTCTACTTCTTTACATTCTCAGATCCTTCCTTTACACATTCCCATTCCAGCCATAGTTTCAAACTTCGTTCTTAACAATCCAATCCACACGCTCTTCACATTCTAATATTTGCTCTTTTCACATTTCTAAAACTTCCCTTTTCACTATCTCGTATTAGCAGTCTTCACACTTTGATACTCTTCCTCTCCACATTCCCAAACACACTCTCTTCATATTCCCATACCTGCCCCATACATTTTCCCATCCTTTTCACATGCATATAACCCCCTTTTCAGATTCCAATCACTCTCTTCACATCCCCTAATCACTTTCTTCACATCCCCACTACCACCCTCTTCATAATCCCAAATTCCACCTCTCCACCAGTCAATCCTCAGCTTGTTCACATTTGCAGCCTTTACTTACTTATAACCTTCACCTTTTCATATCCATAGCTTAATTTCATTCTATAACCATCTTTACAGGTCCCTACTTGCCCTCCTCACATTTCATATTCCTCCATACACAATTCCATACAATGCATTAGCATACTTTTCTCACTCCTAAACTCTCCTTCTTCCTATCCACGTCCTCCCTCTTCACATTCTACTAGCTCTTCATAATCTTGTACTGTCAATCTTCTGTTCATGCCCTGCTTCTAAATATTCCCAGTTTTTGTCTTCAAACTCGCATAGTATTCATAGTTTATCCATAGCCTCCATCTTTACAGTAATGTACTCTTACCCTTTTTCTTATATACTCCCCTTCAATTTTTTCATATGCACACATTCACCTTCTTCACATTTTCATACCTTAACTTTTCTATCCTATACCATCTCGTTCAAATGTCTTTAACCATTTCCTACTAATCAACTTCAAATTTCTATTTCATCCCTTTTCTTTCTTGCATTCCCACACTCTATCCATCATATTTTCATTACCACCCTCTTCTTATTTCTAAACCCAACTCAATGACAATGAGACAGCCACTAGAGGCTGGATCAACCCATAGGTAAACATAGCAGTTTCTCTGAAACTGCTATATTTACAGCAAAAAGGGTTAAACCTAGCTGGACCTGGCACCCAGACCACTTCATTAAGCTGAAGTGGTCTGGGTGCCTATAGTGGTCCTTTAAGGTATTCTCACACTTTTTACTAGAACATTCCTTCACCTTGCCTTCCACTTTTTATTTCTCCATATCCCCATTTTCACATTGATATACCCTTTGTTTTCTTTCTTATATCATTGTCTTCCAAATCCAATAGCATTTTCCTCATATTTCCATACCAGCCACTTCCCATTTCACCCCTCTTCTTTTTTATATCACCTTCTTCACAATGTCCTTTACATTCTGGTACCCTTCCTCTTCATATTCTAATACCCTCCATTTGCATTACACAAACGCTCTTAACATTTCAGCTCCCATTTTTTCCCCCATATTTCCCTGCTTGCCATCTGTATTCCATATTTTTTGTCTTTACATCCTCATCTCCACATTATCAAACCCCTCCATCTTATAGATTTTTCTGCTTTCTTATGACATCCTTTTTCTCATTCCCTCCTTCGGAACACTGCAATATCCTCACTCTTTTTTCTCAAACCCAATGCCACATCATTTTTTTTACCATCCTTTTACACATTTCAGTACCCTCCAACCCTACATCCCCTTACCGCCCTTTCCATGCTTTTATCAACCACCTTCTCATTCCATTCATTGTACTTATCCTCTTCATTCCATTCATTTTTTCATTGGCCATTTAGTGATTGTTGCTAGTAGAAGAAAGTTGAAGTTTTGTGCCAAGTAGATCAAAATATAAACATGTAATAAAACTGTAATTTGTCACAAAAACTGGTCTCATCCCTTATATAATTTAGTAAATGTGTATGTATACATAATAACAAATGGTAATTACAAGCATATATTAAAATTCGTATACTGTAAACTTTTTTTAACCTACTTTATGCAGCTCACTATACAACAGTAAAATGATTGTGTCCAAATGAAGAGCTAAAAGTCCTAGTTATTATCAAGGAGGAATTATCACCTACACATAAAAAAAACAAAAAACATGGTACAGGCTGAGCAATGCTTTCCTGTGGGGCAGTCCTAATGTGAGCGCGGTGCTTGTTGTGCATGCCCCTTAGGTCTTCCTCGCCGGGTGTCATCAGTCGAAGGGTGGAGCCGGTCCCAGCACCGAAAGACATCGGCGCTGGAATGAGGCAAGTGACGGAATGTTTTTTAACACTCCAAGTGCAGGAGGGGGATGGTGGGATCCGCTGTAGGTCACTATAACAACTTTGTTTTCCTACCACTATAGTTTCCCTTTAATCATGCATATTTTGGTAGCTGTTAAAAATAACTTCACAATAAATTGGATATTGGTTGTGCCACCTCTCTTGCAACCTGTTTTATTCTCTTTGCAATCCACACAATGAGATGTCTCATAGGCTCTCAGGTTCTACGCAGAAATTCCACAAATTAAGGAGTGCTTGGGATAAATATCACAACACCTGCAAATCCACTCCAATCCATAGGTCCTCGCTATGCTTTCAAGTTTCCGGTTTGATATTTCATGTCTTTGTTGAATTTATGCGGTGTGCTCCAGAATTTGTCTAAAAATATTTTGTACAATATGAGGTGTACTAATTCCCTAACCCAGGATTAATAATATTCCAACGTCCAAGCATTGTACACCTTTGGCACCTATGGAATGCGTTTTTCTGTTCTATATTTGCACATGTTTGGTAAAAATGAAACATGCCTCCAAAAAACTCCCAACAAACAATCTCTAATAAAAAATTACAAAAAGTTATCTTTGCAAATAATGTGTTACATAAGTAATAATATTAACAGTACCCATTGCTGCAGCATTTTTAAGGGCCAGATGTGTACAATAAAAAAATTAAAAAAAAATCATTGATAGTATATGACAGAATATGAAATACAATGATTGAAAGGGTGACATTATGTTTTAATGAACATACTGCTGTTAAATTTGATGATGATTTTATAATAGTATATATAATTTATCCTTCCTCTTCACTGCTACTCCATGCATCTTCAAATGCAGGATTTAGATATGCCTTTGACCCTGATTTTACAGAGTCTTCATCAGGAACAGGCTCACGTATTGCTGGCACCCAAGCAAGAACATTGCAGTCTTTGCTGCCACTATACAGCTCCTGAAACTGAGGCTGAAACACACAGCAGTCGACGTTGTTATAATGTCCTCTTAATACACTAACCTGTCGTCCAGAATAAATAGTATAAACCACTATAGTACTGTCATATGGTACAAACACAAACTCAGGACTGCAACCCTCAGACACTGTGAACTTGAGACTTTTCCTGCTGCTGTTACAAACCTTGCCATAATTTACAAGTGTATTTTCACCTGACGCACTGTTCCAAAGCCTCATCCTATCATCAGTCCCTACTGTTATGAGGTGAAGACCATCACTGGTAAAACATAACCCATTAACTCTACCATTATGGGCCGTATTTGCAGTTTCCAAAGAAGACTTGGACTTCTCTCCATTGTGCTGATCAAGAGTAATTAGGCAACCAGTTGCTTTGCGTACATCCCATAATTTAACTTTGCTATCAGCACTTGCAGTTGCTAAAATATGATCATATCTTGGAGACCAACGGACTGCAAGCACCTCTCCTCTATGACCCTGCAAAATATGAGAACACGAACCAGATTTTAAGTCACAGAGTTGCACTTTTGGGCTTTTTGTGCCAACTGCTATCAAACTATGCTTTGTAGCCAGGGGAGACATGTGGTGGCTGTACACGGTCCCTTCAAAATGAAAAACTTCAGCAAGATGTAAGGAGTTTGTGTCCCATATCTTCAGTGTCTTATCAAATGAGCTAGATGTAAACATTCCAGTGTCATGAGGATACCACTGTACAGTCTCAACACTGAACTTGTGCACATTGGGGTGACTTTTTCCTACTTTACATATTGCTTTACAAGTGTAAGAGAGAGACTGGCTCAAATTTTCAAGGTCATACACAACGATGATGCCATCAGCTCCACCAGAAAGCATGTATCTGCCCTCCACAGGATCAATATCAAGTGTGTTGATGCCATTTTCATGTATTCGCTCAACATCCCTATCCTTGTTTAACTCCAAACTCAGAACTCTTCGAGTGGTTTCTGCACGCCTAAGAGAAACTGGGCTATCTAAGCCACAAATTCGAGCCCATAGAGATCCAAGCATTCTCAGAATTTTACATTTGGAACTGCAGAAATCTATAAATGATACATTAAAAACAGCGACAGAAGTAGTATTTTCTTGATGGATGATGGAATCAGATGGTCAAACAATCCAAACGTGAATACAATTTCTTCAGAATTTCTGTCAAATATGTGGTGTTAAAAAGCTCTAAAATAAAAGTGAAAATTAGTAAGTTGAGAAAATGACAGAACAAAAACCAATGTTTGTGTATGCTTGCTAAAAAAACAAACAAAAAAAAAAAAAGACACATCTGGAAATGTAGATCATCTTATTTATAACATGTTATTCTGGTATAAAGCTATAAATTTTAAGTATAAATACATTGGTGTTTAAAAACAAAACAAAACAAAAAAAAACAACTATAAAAATATTTAGAATAAGTTCATAGTGCTTTATTTAATATGCTACATAAAACAATACTTGGGGTTTCATTCATTACATGCCACCTTGTATAACACTTGGTAACAGATTTTAAAGTGTTACTCTAATCATTATAACCACTATGGCACACTGTAATGGTTATGGTGTCCAGTCACAGTTACCTGGTATTTGAGCATACCGTTTAGCAATGATTTTAATATCATATATGCAGTACATACAGACTCCACACACCATGACCACTTCAACTCACTAAAGTAGTCGTGGTGCTTGCAGTAACCCTTTAAAACCTACACATTGAAGTCTTCAGAAATTAATGTCAACATAATATGTTTTATAGACCTGTGCTACAATGCTCAGCATTTTAAATCCTAAACTACTACCCTGGCTCAAAATATAGTGAGACCTGGGCAGCTATGTTGCAAACCTGTAAAGCGGCACTGTCATGGCTGAATCCTGTTTTATTTTAACCCCCCTCCACTACATCTAATTGACCCCCTATTTACCCCCAAAAGCCCCTAAGCCCCCCATATTACCTATTTTTTCATCTTTATTTTCTGCCCCAATCTATATTCAGGGCGCCGCCATCTTTGTGTGGGTAGAAGAAGTCCCTGTGGGACACGTCATCTGCCCACACTAGATAGCACTGAGATTCCCGCACATGCCCAGTGAAACACTTGGACATGCGAACGGGAATTTCATCTATTCATTCATTCGAAAGACGAATGAATGAATAGCATTGTCAGACAAACAAAAACACAGAGTATCAGTGTTTGTTTGTTCGGTCAGTTTATTACAAGGAGGGAGCTACTGGCACGCAGCTCCCTCCTTGTAATATGTAAAGATAGAAGCGGCAGGGGGGCCACTTCATAAGCCCCCCAGGTCCCCCCCTCACTCTATGGGGGTCAATATGACCCCCATAATAGCATAAGGGAGATTAAAATCTCCCCAATGCCCCTACTCGCTGTACCGTGAGTAGGGACAAGTTTAAAAACAAAACAAAAAAACAACCTACTAAATAACAATAAGGGGTGGGGACACCTACTGTCCTCCCCCTGGCTCCCACCCCTGAGCGGTGGGTGGGGTTAAAAAACAATAAGGGGGGGACACCTACTGTCTTCCCCCTCGAGCGGTGGGTGGGGGCCCTAAAAAACAATAAGGGGGGACCTACTGTCCTCCCCCCTGAGCGGTGGGTGAGGGCCCTAATAAACAATAAGGGGGGACCTACTGTCCTCCCCCCGGCCCCCACCCGTGAGCGGTGGGTGGGGGCCCTAAATAAAAATTCACCCCCTACCCCAAAATCAAGGTGACTAGGGGTCCCAAGTTCTTTGGAATTTTTCCACGCTGTGTATAATGACAAAGAGCACTCTGGTGGGTTTGGAATCTAACCAATCACAGTGCTCTGTGTCATTTTACACAGCGTGGGAAAGTTCTTTGGCGGTTAGTAGTTTTTTGTTGTTGTTTTTTTAAAGTGAGCAGCCACTGGTTGCTCACTGTTTAATAGACATGCCCCTACTCACGGTATAGCTAGTAGGGGCTGAATTTACTAATACTAAGTAATGTTTACTTAGTATTAATAAAGTTGGCTGAAAGACCAATTTAGGTCTTTCAGCCTTTTAGTAGATAACTCCCTAATACCGTGGGAATTAGGGAGTTATCTACTAAGCGGCTGCAAGATGCAGCCAGAGCACGAATAGGATCGGAGTTTCATTCATTCAAATGAAATTGCGATCCGAACAAAATCCTGAATTGCATCCTAACACGAATGGAGAAACGGTTCTCATTCGGTTAGGATGCAGTTCTGCACTTTTGCCTGCGTTCTGTCTAAGTGACAGGAAGCATCGTGGGAAAATTGCTCTGACCAGCGGAAATGAAGCACACTTTGCTCCTCCGCTGGTCAACGCGGAGGAAACCTCCATAAGGCAAAGAGTCCCTACTTTGTCTTATGATTTTAAAGAAAACTAAAGAAGACAGGAAGAAAAGAAGAACAGATCCTGAGGAGAAGAAGAGTTAGAGATTGAGGAAAGGTAAGTTCGGCATGACAGTGCCGCTTTAAGTCACACTGTAAGAGAGAGACTGAGGTTAGGCTGGCAAAAGTATTTTTATTACAACTCACAGTGTTGGGCCCAGCTGAAAACAAGTGGATTCTATAAACAGTGGAAGCTCAGACCCTACAAATATTCGTGCTGAAAAACCCTTTCAGAGTAGCAGTTACCTGATGTTATGGTAACCAAGAAAACAATATACACATAAAGGGGCGAGGATGTCAGAACTTTTACAGTCTGGCAACAATGAAAGATCGGTTCCCTACATGCATGCCCTCTCAGATCAGCAGCTCATTTTATTTTAACCTTTCAATCAGCTGCCTATTTAAAACTATCAACCTGTGCAACGTTTACATTCATTACAAATATAAAATGTATTATTATAACCGACAAGCTCGCTGCAATTCTCACAGATACATTGCTTAGAGAGATTTACTGCGAAGAATTAAATCATTTCACCAACAGCGAGTTGGTCTGATTAAACCCGCCCTGAGGTCACCGTCACTATGGACCATAACCACTGCCAGTGCTAGGTGTACAGGCTAATAGTGCACAGTACCTTCTGTGTGGGAGGGCCAGCCCGGCCAGCAGGCTCACAATAAGAGAAACCATCACAGTGCTACGCCGCTCCTGCCAGCCCTCTTCTTCCTGTCTCGTGTTCCGTCTCCCATGGATGACCTCACTCACAGCGCGACTGCGAGCACAGCACTGGTTGTTGCCGAGCGACTGACGTCATCCCGGCGCGCCCTGTCTCTCTCTCTCCCTCCCGTGCTTGTGTGTTTCTCCGCGAGCACCCTTCCGCGAGCGGCGCGCGTGCCAGGGCATGCAGAGGGACCGGCCGGACGGATCCAGCGGCACGTGATAGGGAGCAGGTGAGCGGCTATCCGCCGGCATGGCCGGTCCGGGCTCGGAGAGGGGGAGGGGGGCAGCAGCAGCTATATGGGGAGTGTTTAAAGGGGCAGAGGGTCTCCACACAGAGCACACTGCATGGACTGGCACTGGCTTCACCTTCATCATGTGTGATATCTGTGTGTGAGCATTGCATGGCCGAGCTCGGGGACACACAGCGCTGCATGGTGCCAGTGTGCTCTGTGTACATGGAGAGGGTTACATAGGGACACACCGAGCGAGCCCTGACTGTAACTCTGTGTACAGAACCAGCTCACTGTGTGTATAGTGTAATAACAGCATTGTACAGCGCTGCAGAGTAAGGTGGCGCTATATAAATACCATTAGTATTATTATTATTAATAGTAATATGGACGGTGTACACAATGTCCTAACACATGTATTGCTGTGTATTTATACCAAACTATGTCTGTGTCAAGATGTTTATTATTTATCATGTTTTAGTGTAGAAGTCACACTGATCAATAAGCTACTTACTATAATTTTTTTTTTTAATTCTTCATCTTACATATACGTGTGTGTATGTATATATGTATGTGTGTGTGTGTGTGTGTGTGTGTGTATATATATATATACACACATCACACTCTCTATCATTCCATGTTGATTTTCATAATTTCACATTTGTGGGTACAAAGAAACTCTTAAATAAACTCCTTTACTTGACAACCTGTACTGCTCTGTCACTGATGGTCTAGAAGGGTGGAAATTCAGATGTTACCACTTCTGCACAAATGTGTTCTTCTGCCTCTTTCAGTGAATCCAAATGCACCATCCCACTAACAAGGCAATGCATGTTAATTACATGATGATTCTGTAGGGTATACAAAACAGGAAATGCACATTTTGTAGTTTAGACAAGAAAATCTTTTTCGGAGGGCAGTTCAGATAGTTAGTATGTCAACAGTTGAAGACTCCTTTTGCTTCCCAAACTGTAGCTGTTTTAATTTGTTCATAACTAATATTGACACACTTTTTTTTTTTGAATAATGAATATGCAATGTAGAGATCATTAGTGAATAGAATGTAGAATGACAGAAGGTAATGGTAGTGGTGGGAGTATAGTCGACAAGCATGTCATAACTTTCTTTTGGCTCTTCAGTGTTTAGGCTTGATGACCTGGAGAAATAGGGCCCAGGAGAAGAGCAAAGGAATGTAGCGCTTGAGGTGTACACAGTAAAATGCTTTCGGTGTAATAACACCTTAAATGGGATTTCACAGTAAACCCTATTCTCCCCCCCCCCATCATATTTTGTCATCTCCTTAATAGCTGAAAAGCACCTCTCCAACAAAAGGTCTTGATGACTGAACTTTGAGTATACATGATTAAGGCTTGACGCTAAAACGTTGTCCATAATTTTGTTCTCCTGATTTTGAATAAACCTCCATTGTCTTTGCACTGCTCTGTAAAACCTTTTGGAGTTTGATTTTGAATACTTCTAAGGCACTGCGGATCTCTTCCATGGTGCTCCTGTTGTGGTAGCAGACTTTATTGGGTTCCCTGAGTGCAACACTACTTTTAGAATTGGCTTTATTAAAGTGATCTAGAAAAGTGCCGGTTTTCTTTATAGTAAATTCTGCCTGTTTTAACAGAAATTTCCATCTCAGAAGACTGCTAAATTTAGAGTAGCGGGAAAAAAAAAGAATTTAAATAGAACACTTGTCTATCAGAAAAAGTGCTGTAAAAACCATAAACCTGTTACGTTGCTGGAAAAAAATACCAAAAATTGTTAGGGTGCAAAACTAGCAACAAGTTAAAATATCTGTCAGATGTAATAAATTGCACAAACATTTGCTGAAAATTAGATGGACATTTTTTATTTTTATAAAGCTCCCCTACTATGTCTTTCTCCTTTTTTCTCTATGCTGATATCGATACAAAGAGCAGGAATTGTGACAAGCATCTAATATGGAGCTGTACAGATTTTACATTACATTGTATTTTTTTTAAACTTTGCAAGCACATATCTATCTATCTATCTATCTATCTAAAAACCGTTTAGAAAGTATTCTTACCCCTTCATTTAAAAAAAAAAAAAAATGTATGTTGCATTATGTTACAATTGTTTCACATCAGTCTACACTCCATAGTGGCAAAGTAAAAAACAATTTTTGACACCAAAATATTAAAGCGAAAGATATTACATTTAGAGATGTATTCAGACCCTTACTTCAGTACTTACTTGAAGCACCTGTGGCAGTGATTAAACCCCAAGTCTTTTTTTTCGGTAGGATGTGACAAACTATGTACACCTGGTTTTGGGTGGTTTCTGTCACTCGTTTCTGCAGATTCTTTCAAGCTCTGTCAGGTTGGATGGGGACCGTCAGTGGACAGCAATTGTCAGGTCTCTCCAGAATGTTTTTTTTCGGGTTGAAAAATGGGTCTTGCTAGACTTTCACAAAGTATTTAAGGCAGTCTTGGATTGTCTTGGCTGTGTGCTTAGGATTGTTTTTTTGGAAGTTGCACCTTTGGCTCAGTCTGAGGACCTGTCCACTCTAGACTAGGTTTTCATTAAGGGTATCTATGTATTTTGCTGTGTTCAGCTTTCCCGCTACCCTGACCAGTCTCCCAGTCCATGGCACTGAAAAACACACTCCGAGCATGATGTTACCACCATCATGTATAGTATAGGTATAGTGCAGATGTTGACTGTTGCCTGTTTTCGTCAAGACATGACTTTTTGAATCAAGGACAAACAGTCTTGCAATCTTCTTTTCATCAGACCAGATGATCCCCCCCCCCCCTTTTTTTTAATTTTAATTCTTGCAGTTTGAGTCCTTTTTGTGCTATTTAGCAATTCCAATCAGACTTTCATGAGTTTTGTAGTGAGGAGAGGCTTCCATCTGGACAGTCTGCCATTAAGGCCAGATCAGTGGAGTATTGCAGTGATGGCCGTTTTCCACAAGTTTCTTCCATCTCCACTCTTGAACTCTGGAGCTCACCCATAATGACCACCTGCTTATTGGCCCTTATCCCCCAATTGGTTACTTTGACCAGGCAGCCAGCTGTAGGAAGAGTTCTGGTTGTTCCAAACTTCTGTCATTGATTTTTTGCTCTAATGTACATTTACAGCCATGAAACCTTATATAGACAGGTATTTTACTTTCAACATCAGAGTTATTGAATTTGTCTCAGGTGGACACCAATCAAAGTGTAGAAACATCTCAACATTAATCCAGAGAAAATGGATGCATGTGAGCTTCAAGTGTAAGAGCTTTGTCATTATGGGGTATTGATTGAGGTGAAAATAAAACAATAGAAACAATTATAGAATATGGCTGAAACATAAATGTGAAATAAACTTAAGGGTCTCAATACGTTTGGAATGTATTGTGTGTGTGTGTATGCTTACTTTTACTTACTTTTTAATTGCCTCAGAATGAATAGGATCGTAAATGGTGACTAATCATACTGCAGATTAAGAAGCTCTGGATGATGTTTTTGTGGGTTGTGGCAGGAAGTGATTGCTGTCTGTAATAGACTCTGAAAAGCATGTGTAACATAGGGTGTTAGTAAGTAGATTTAAGTGTTATGTGACACTGAAATAATTACTACTATAGAGTTAGGAATTGTGATATTAAATATTTGTGAACTTGATATACAATATAAAGCAAAAAGAAGCTATGCTGACAGTACGTTATAAAATATATAGGTTTTAGCAAATAATATTTAGTCCTTTTGTTAAGGGTTAGTTCATCCACCATGACCACTTCTGTTTTTAGAAGTGGTCATGGTGATAGAAATCTCTATGTGCGGTGTTTCTGCTTGAAACGCTGCATGTTCAGAGATATAGGCACATTTGTGCCGGGGCTAGTTACAGCCCCTGCACATGTGACTTAGGCAGCCCAGAATTCTATTCTGGACTTACTATTGCCAATTCTGTGTATAAAATACTTTTGACATCAGCATTCACATCACACTGGCTACAGATAGATAGTCCGCTTCTCTAGAGTTCTTCTAGGGTGCCTGCAAGTTTAAATGGATACTATAGTGCCAGGAAAAGAAAGCTGTTTTCCTGGCACTTTAGAATCCTGCAGTGCCCCACTCCCTCCCGCGCGGCTGAAGGGGTTTAAACCCCTTCATTCACTAACCTGAATCCAGTGCTGCTGTCCCTCGGCGCTGAATCCGGCTCCGCCCGCGCTCCTCACTCATAGGGACATAGAACATTGCACCCAGACCACTTCAATGAGCTGAAGTGGTGTGAGTGCCTACAGTGTCGATTTAAGCCTTGGTCTCCATTTCCTCTTTCAATTGAGCCATGCCTGCTGTCCCCAACTCCCTATAGTAAATTTTTTTTCTTTGTGATTTTTTTTTTTTTTCCCTCCCTAGCCTTCATGGCACAGAATATGCACTTGCGTTCTGAGTTAGGACACACTCCAATCAAATGCTTCTCTGTTCTCTAAGCATTTAATTGGACCACAGAGAGGGAGGCTTTGATGTTGTATGGGGCGTGGAGACCTCTGTGGAGAGTTCCAGTGCCGGCTTCTAAGTAAGTGGATTCTTTCTTTTATAGGGTGGGTCTTGCACCTTACCCAGTACAGATAATATAATGATTATGCTAATTTAAAACAGACCCTGAAAAGACACCTTTTCAAGTACTTCTAATTTTCGTTATTATAATTTTCAGCTCCCAGGGTTCACTGCACTTCCAGAGACAGGACATGAGGGAAGTCCAGTTTCTTTATCACTTGGTTACTGCCAAGGCTATGCAAATTGGTCTCCTTCACTTGCAGGAGCTTTGATGTGAACATGCGTGTGTGCATGCCTTCACACAGCACCATTCAGAGCATCATGCAGTTTATGAT